CGAGGACAATCTAAGGTTTACCAAAGATTGTGCTCAAGGACAGTTGGAAGTATAGTGATAATTCTGGAAGGACCATATTGACATAATCTGTAAGGAGGCAACTCTTGTTCAGAAGTGATAGTCAAAATGGAATCTGGAAATGTTTCAAAGTTAGAATTTTCAATCTGTGTAAGATTAAGGAAACTTAATGCAAGAAGGATGTTCCAAGGACTTGATCTCCTTTGGAATGCTCTGTAATGATTTGTTAAGTCTTTCTGACTTTGTGCATAATCATTACAAGAGGATCAATGCATATAAGTTTAGAATCTAACAGATTTCAGTAAATGACATGAATTTGGAATTCTTGCATTTGCAGTAAGGATTTGGGAGTGTGAAAAGAGAATCATTGAAGTTATGTTCAATTGATCTAGTTCACAAAATAAAGATCATAGACAAACATATATGCATACTTGGTGTATGGCATGACTAGTGTTTAGAAAACATAGTGTACATGCTTGGAGCATGGGACAACTATTGTTTTAAATTCAAGAATAAAGTTGATAGCTGAAACAGTATACAATGAATAATGTGTAATCATATGGTGATAAATAAAAGGTGTTTTATTTATGTTCATAGTTTGATACCATATTGGATTCAATTATTATTGTGTTTCACTTTGCATGTTTTGACTTCCCGAATAAACTAGGTTATTCTTCCGGAATGACTAAGTTATTCAAACCATCCACAGTCGGTCATATGTTGGAAGTAGATATGAATTAAGACTGTCATGGGTTGGCTTGTAGAGGTCTAAGATGTTGGACAAAGGGCTACAACACTCATGAGTGCTCATAAGTTCTGAGTATTGGATTCAACCCGCGCTCATTGGAATCACTTCATGGATTTTATCACGAGTGATCATGAGACGATAATATCTTATATTCTTCAAACCTAGAGATATGAGTTGTTACTATGAGTTGATAGTACATTGATTGCACGAAACGCATTGGTAACTCGATGTTATAAAACGTGTCTTTGTGTATGATTCAACAAGTAGTAGAACAAGCCATATGAGTCGAAGTTTATCCATTCCTTTTACCTTCGGGATAAAAGCGATATCTGTGGGCCCCTCGATGATTTGATGATGACAAATGGAAGTGCTCGGCCGGGCCAGGACTGATTTGATTTGTTCAATTAGTCAGTCGTCATAAATCGGAAATCGGGAAACAACAAATGGACAGAGAGAATGATTATAATCCATGTCTCAGTCCATATGATATCTAGAATGGAGGAATATATGATCCCTTATCTAATGGACAAGTCATTGACAAGATCAGAGTTCATCTACAAGGTCAGAGTTCGACAGAAGCTTTTGAGAGCTACGATTGCCAGTTGGTTCCTGAAGTCATACGCAATAATAGTTTTAGACTTATCCAAGTGGGAGACTGTTGGATTAATGTCTAAGTCCATAACTATAATTGGTAAGACTTGACCCGACCCGGCATGGTCCATTTGGGTTGCATGGCATCATGCACTTGGATAGACTATAATGAGAGAAATAAGACACTTATGGTTATTAATATATTATAAGTTCTAGTATATTAATAATAAGAATAATAAGATTATTTAATTAGTATTGATCAAGAATTAATCTAGGATTAATTAAGTGATCAAAAGAAGACTAATTAAATATATGGGTTGATTGTGTAAATCATCCATACTTATATAGTGGGCTAATGCTCCATGGATTATCTAGTTGGGCCAAAACCCATATGATGCTCCATGGATGCTCCATGGTGTATTTGAACCCATGGATCCAAGGAAATGGAAAGTCATGACAATTAGGGTTTACCCTAATTGTAACACTATATAAAGATATTATTCTTCCCAAAAAATCGGCCACTAGATTTCTAGAGAGGGCTAGTCGATTTCATGAAGTGTAGAATTCTCTCTAAGTTATTCCAAGTGTTTATGGTGTTGTGTGAACCATTTGAGGTGTCACACTTGGGGCACTAGGCACTCAAGCTTCATGAAGACATTCTACATCAAAGAGGTATGTATTCTATCTTGCTTTATTGATTGATTTTGTATGCTAGATTAGGATAATACCTTGGACGTTCATATTTGCATGTATAATAGAGAAAACATAGATCCAAGGTATTTAGGGTTGCATGTACACTTAGGAGTGTTAGAATGCTCATAACCCAACAGAAAGATCCTCCTAATTAGAAATGGAAAGGAAAATCTCATGCTGGGTGTCAAGAATTGCACCCAATGGAAAATCTATTTCTGACATTCCTCACAATTTTGATCCTAGAGAGATCATTTTCTTTTTCTGCAATGACAAAGGGCATTGGAAACGAAGCTTGTCAAAGTATCTGCAAGACATCAAGGATGGCAATGTGAATCCATCTTCAACAGGTATATACATTAATTCATCTAACAACTCATCAACTTTTTCGTTCTCGGGCCCTTGATACAGGATGTGGTTTTCACATTTGTTCTGATTTGTAGGGTCTAAGAAAAAGTGAGTAGGTGGAGCACGGAAGAATGAACCTTATCATGAAGAATATGTGATCTTCTCTGGTTACCAAGATTGGAGTTTATAGTCTAGTGCTTAGTAGTGGTGTTAGTTTGAATTTAATAGATTGTTGCTACTTGTCAGAAATGACACGTAACATTATTGCATTTCATGCATTGTTCAGACAAGGTTTTAGATATTTTTTTGATGTTTTGAATAGTTCTATTTCAGTTTATAAAAATGGTGTTTTTATATTTGAAGCTTTACCTTGTAATAGTGTGTATGAAACTGTAACGTGTGTTGACAATTTACGCAATAGTGCATTTCATATTGATTTGTCTAATGGTGTAAACAAAGCGTGCTTGTGGCATCATCAGCTTAGACATTTTAACAAGAAACACATCGCCCGACTCTAAAGGGATGGAGTGTTGATTCATTTGACCTATGGTCAGACGATACATGCAAATCTTGTCTTTTGGGAAAGAAGACAAAATCACCTTTCACGGGATCTAGTGAAAGAGGTGAAGGTTTGTTGGATCTCACACATACAGATGTGTGTGGAACCTTTAGATCATCCACATACTACTAGAAAAACATCCTTTTATGACATGCAATGCATGTCATAAAACGCTTAGACGACGCACAAATGCGCGTCAAGGAAGACCCTATCATAACGAGAGACGACACGCTTTTGCGCGTCGTATCCTTACGACGTGCATTTACGACGCACAATGCGTGTCAAGGAAGGCCCTGTCATAAAGAATATAACACGCGTTCGCGTGTCGTAAAATGATGCACATTTAGGACTTGCATTGCGTATCATTAAAGCCAATGTCATAAAGAAAGACGACACACATTTTGCGTGTCATAAAGTTTAAATGTTTTAAAAATTTTATATATGTTTTTTTTGTAAATTTACTAATTTTCAAATTACATCACACATTTAATGTCTCATAATGTATAATAAAATTTCATACACAAAAATAAAATAAATTGCACAAATTATAATATGTCATACAAATAATCATTCAAATATTAAACAAAAATAATACATTGCTGCTGTTCCAAACAAAAAAATACATTGCTAACATGAATTATACATTCCTATAAAACTAACAACCCTCGGTGACCTTGATCTAGATCGAGGTCGACTTGGATGGATGGCGACGATTGGATTTTAGATACACAACATGATTACTGACTTAAGACCCTGTGCAACAACTGCATTCCATGCCCTATTTCCAGCAACCACCACATGTTTTAGTGTCTCAAGGGCTAGCATACTTCCTCCTTTCCATCCAACAGTTTTCATTAACAATGGAACCACCTGTAATTTATTAAAAAAACAAGGTCAAAACTAAAGATTAAGTATGCCCTTGCTCCTTTTTCCCCCTTAACATACGTAAATAATGATGTCTATCTGTATAAAGCTTGTTCATTTTCTAGACTGTAAGAGGATTTTAATTGAGTCATTAAGTCCATTAAGTAAAAATGAAACAGATACTAACAGTTTTAATGAAGTACATGACTAAAATCAAAGTGATCATAAAATATAAATAAATAAAAAAGTGAGAGACTTGAGTTGTCCATTAAGCAAATGCAGATTACCTTTTTCTTCTTCAAAATATTTCCAATGGAGAAGGCATTTGTATAGGGTAAATGCTGAAACACACTACTAGAAAAACAGCCTTTTACGACGCTCATTGCGCTTCGTAAAAGGCTCAGACGACGCGCAAATGCGCGTCAACGAAGGCCCTGTCATAAAGAGAGACGACACGCATTTACGACGCTCATTTACGACGCGCGTTTGCGTATCAATGAAGGCCCTGTCATAAAGGAAGACGACATGCATTTGCGTGTCGTAACCTTACAACGTGCGTGTTAATGACACGCAATGCGTATCAAGAAAGCCCCTGTCAAAAAAGGCCATGTCATAAATGAAGATGACACACATTTTTGCGTATCATAATTTTAAATGTTTAAAAAAAATATTCTTTATAGATTTACTTATTTTCAAATTAAATTTGTATTTAATTTTTCATTATAGAAAATAAAATATCATATACAAAAAATAGAATCCATTGCCTAAATTTAATGTCACACAATTCTATTTCTTACAATATATAAATTTGCATATAATCTACTATATACATCAAATTCCAACTAAGTAAAGTTGCATCTTGCCTTTCATAATTCTTTAAGACTACTGCTCCAAACAACTGATTATATGGATAAGCAGTTGTGCATTGGCCCATCTCACTCAATAACGACTTAGCCAAATTCAACTCCGTGTCTTTACTGCATCTTGCTGATAATACTGCAAGATTTAAATCAAGTGGCTTCATATTCCTTTCTTCCATCAACTTTACTTGATGCACAAAATACAAATAAACAAAAAAAACATTGTAGAGGAAGGGGTAATTTGGCAAAATGTGAGGGGTATAATATAATAAGAATGCGAATACTTAATACCACTTTCATGCCATTGTTCCAAGAGATTCAACTAGTCTTTAGTTGCATTAACTCCCAATGCTGCAGGAAGTGCCTTTAGTTGCACTAACTCCCAATGATGCAGGAATTGCCTGAATAAATAATTCAATAAAATATTTTTTTATATAAAACTCTATATGAAAATACTGTTAAAGCAATCTTTCAAATGAACCTTGAATTGGAGCCCAATAAAGAACAATGGCATTATTATCGTCACCGCCATCAAGACCTATCTCAAACTAGCATCTTTCCTAAAAAGACAGCTCAATAAAGAATAATGAGATAAATGTTCTAATAAAAACAAAAACCAATCAAATAAGAAAATGTATACATACCATTCTTCAAGAAGACCACCTGAATAAAGAAGTGAATTAACATCACCATGGCCATGAGGTTTTGTCTAACAAGTGAAATAAAAGGGGTTTATAATTAGGAATATTACTAATATTATATACTTTAGTAAATTCTTCACTTGTATTATGTACTTATTATTTGGATCTACAACAACCTTATCATCATTATTAGCCAAGCAAGCAACCTTTTCTGGAAACATGGTAGCATGAATTTATAATTCCAATGATGCCCTTCTATTGTAGCAAAAAATAATCCCAAATGTGAAATTTTACTTGTTTTAAAAGTTTTACTTGTGTAGATTTCATCCCAAAATAAGAACTTGACTCTACAAGTTGAAATGCTTTTGAATATGCATTAATTGAAGTTATTATCACAAAAGGTACTTCTCTTCTGCATTCACCTACAACTGGACAATTTACTAGTTTTTTAATATATTGATTTTAACTTTCTATTGTGCATATAAGAATAAAGATAATATGTTCATGGGGAAACAAAAAGCACCTTGAGTTTGTCTATGTAGTGTTGTAAGAAACAAGTTCCTATTGTTGTCTCCATGGGAAGTGCTACCTACGAAATGGATCAAGTTTTATAAAGTGGTGTTAAACTAACAGAACACTTATCAAAGGATTAAAAGACAAAAATAACCTTGATCGTATTGTATCCAAGATGTTTACCAAGCCCTCCTGCAACAAGAACAAATGCAATATTTTTGTATTTGCTTGACACCAATCTCCTCATAAAGATTTCTCTGGGAGTCTTGTTAAGTGACTTACAGAAGGTTTGAAACCATCAAATGGATTGTTTCCTGCCTTTGAACATAACTGTATGACATTTTTGGTATATTCAGAAACACATGGAAAATCGTCTTAAGACATTTCGTTTGGTTGTAACTTTTGTAGATTGAAAATACATATTTGTTTATTATTATAGACATAGTTAGAAATAAAATCTAAAAGAAGAGGTGATGAAGGCTAGGGAAATGTGTGGCTGAATGGATTAAGTCAGATAATATTAATATATCAAGTGAAAAAAAAACAGCCCTGTCCCCTTATATATATATATATATATATATATATATATATATATATATATATATATATATATATATATATATATATATATATATATATATATATATATATATATATAGTTTGGGTAAAATGAAGTTAATACCTTACAGGAACACGTGTGTTTGTTTATGATCTTATGCATAAAGAATGACTAAAGAGAGAAAGTCAGGCTGGCATCATAAATTTACTACTGTTGTGTATTTAAATAAACGGATAAATAGAGAATCAATCACATACAACCAAAGCATCGTAGTGGAGTCCATCATATATCAACATAACTCTTTCAGGATACTTCTTTTCCTGTCAAAAGAGAGGAAGCTAACCTTTTTAAATCATAATGATGTTGTCTCTCTTTTGAAATCATAATGTCAAATATTTTCTATATATTGCACTAAAGATAGTGCAAGAGCATCCAGACCTTCGTAGTAGTGGAAGCGTGCTTGAAGTTTTAGCTAAAAAGGCTGATGTATTTGCTGAAACAGAATCTAATATCTTTAAGAAAACTTTCAATTGGGGTATGCAAAGGAACGAAATTGATGCCATAATCAGAAGCCCTCCTGATCCTTCTGTTAAGCCTGATGAAAAGTCACCTTCTGAAAAAATGCCATTTGAAATCACAGAAAGTTCTTGCTGCCATGCCAACACAACACACACAAAAATACAAATATCAATTTATTTACAAGAAAAAAAATCTTTCTTATACAATTGTATTTTCATTTTACTTATCTTACACAATTCTACTGTCAGTTTTATTCTTAGTTATACTTTGAAAAATCTTCCCAAACATATTTACAAGATCTAGAAGATGCACCCATCAAGCTAAAGTCAAAAGTCTTTGCCACCTTTATATATTCATATGCATACATTAGAAAAGAAGTACATGAAGTTCAAGTTTACTACAATAAATCCAATTATGAACATTTACCTTAGTTGCTAAGCAAGAAACGAGTTTGTCAGCAACTTTGAGTAATTCATCCATTAAACTGCCCTCAGGGTCATTGCTTGCAGCTGCCAACTCATGGCACACAACTTTCATGTCTTCAACAAACTGCAAATCAACACTCTATAAGTTTTAATATAAAAATGTAAACCTGTTTAGGGGATCCGTATCGAATGATATCTAAAGCTTCATTCAAGTCTGTAGGGCCAATTACACCACAAGATGACCGTCCAAGTGGATATCTTTCCATTTGAGGTTCTTGAGGAACTTACATTTCCCTAAACCCCAAAATTAAGCACCTCATGAAAAATATAAAGAAATATAGAACATGAAAAAAGTTTAAAAGTAAATCCAAAAACAAGGACAACACTACCTGCTAAAAACTGGTCCATACATGGATTGTGTGACTTCGCCACTTTGCTCAGCAACATCAAAACTGCACAACAATATATATATATATATATATATATATATATATATATATATATATATATATATATATATATATAAACTAAACAAATAAAATCAATAAAAATGGTTATTTATCTTGGTGTTAGAAAAAGAGGATGTTTACCCATTTTCCGTAACAGAACGCCTTAAAGCAGCTTTAGTTTCACGTGGCTTCCCCTCCTTTCTTTTCTCCATTTCTCAAAACTATAAAAAAGTAGAGAATTAGTAACAACATATAGATAAACTACTCCTATTCCCCAAATAGTCTTTTTTTTGTACCTTCCACTTAAAATTTTCATCTAACATGCTCCTTTGGGCTTCATTCACATATCAGCTTCACTACTCAGTATTCACTCCTCCAAAAAATGAAGACTATGATTGGCATCTAATGTAATTATATATAAGAATGGGGACACTATGATTGGCATCTAACTTTTCCCAATAATAAACGGAGCTAAATCAAATTCTCTCATAAGCTCTACTATACTGACTAAATTGCAAACATTGTTTTCATTTGTATCTCCTTTTGGCTTCTCCATAAACAGTCACACCCATAACAGTCAATGAGTAGCTAGCTATACCTAAAGGGGTAACCGGATTACGGAAAATGAGTATTAAGATAACAACCGCTACATCACCTTTAGCATTCCGACCATACCATATACAATACTTTAGCTTAATTTGCAGTATAAAAAAGAAAGAATCATGGCTAAATTCACAAGCTCGATCCATGAATATGTAATGTGCTAAGTTTGAACTCAGAAGTCAAAATAGAGAGTAAGAAGAAACAATTATCCTGTAGAGTTAGTGCACTTGTGTGCTTGGTGACCAAAAAATCAATCAAGTTAGCAGCATAAGCCAAGGTTGAATTCACAAAAAGGAGTAGCCACATGAATCTATGCTTTAACCCAAGGGATTGTAGTTGACCTATAATAGGAAAATGGAGTTATCTTGACCAAAAATCACGATCGACTGGAGGCATGTGCTTCACCTTCGACATGCCATATGTTTTTCTCTATGTTTTCATACGTACGCTGGTTCAATGGGTTTTGAAGAAGAAAGAATCGTATTGGGATATAGATGTTCTAATGGATGATGGAAGCGGTGGGATACATGTTTTGAATCGATATCACATGCCCTAATTTGTGAAGACGGTCTGATCTTAGGGTTTCAAAGGGGACAAAGGTTCATAGATCGGAGATGTAGGATTCCGAGTCGAATTCAAGGCTGAGGAATGAGGAGAGAGAAAGCACACATAAAGTGTGTTTGTGTGTGTTTTCGGATAAGGAGAAACAAAAAAATCAGTTATGTTTCTCCTTTGTTCTCTCGGCTAGATAGAGATATCGACATCAAAGAGAGGATTCAGAGAGGAATAGAGAGGAATTTACTAAAGGCACAAATAGAGGGGAGAAATAAGATCTAATGGTCACTGAACTCTTGGAATCAAGCCCTGGGACTTCAGATCAACACAAGGAAGACGATGTTATTGAGAGGGAGGCTTGTTGTTCGAAACAAATCACAAAGAAGATCTGATGGTCATTAAACCAGACTTAGGGCTTGTAAACTTGAGCATCTGTGGCGGTCTCCGTCAAGCTAAATTTAGCCCAAGATTGCCGGCGAAAAGAGATGAGTCGAGATCGTTGGTAGATGAGGTGAGCCAAGGTAGCGAACGTTGCAGAGAGCAATCTTATCTAAAAAGAACCCTAGAATGATCCCTTCGATTTTTTGATAAAATAAATAGTCCGGAGGCGCGTTCAAGAATTATAAAGCGACATACTTACACGACACGCCTTTTATGATGGGTGCCCTCCGTGTTTTCATTTTTATTTTTTTCTGACACAATTTAGGGCGCGCATTTTTGCTCATCCTATATCCCTCAAAATTTTGGAGCGATGACATTATTTTTACATCACACACTTTTGCGTATCGTAAATTCGTGCGTGTACAAATTGCGTGTCATTAAAGGCATTTTTTCTAGTAATGACAGGTTTGCATTAACCTTCTATTTATACCAGCATCTAGATGACTCTGCTGTCAAAAGACCAAACTACCCTTGACAGATTAATTGACTTTTTACTAAACATAATACTACAGATCAACAAAGTAAATAGAAATTAAAAAATAAAATAAAATGGTATTTGCGATGTTATTTGGAGTTCAAAAAAAAATACATAAAGATTACCTGTTAAGGAGTAACGAAAGGAGAATCAATAGAAATCTTCAAAATTGTTTAGCTTAGTAACCTTCATAAAGAACATGGACAACAAAAAGTTAGATACTAGATACTATTTGGAGTTGAAATATAAATATTTATACAAATGATTACGAGGGGTAAACATGTAAAAATACCTCTCTCCCCAACCCAAAGAGTTCTTTCTTTAGCTTTTTAAGAGTATCAACACGAAGATATGATTTCAAATAAATATTAAAAACTGACAATTGTAAGTTTATATGATTTTGGTTTATTAACAATTAAGAAAATATAAAAGAGACAGACATTATAGTAAACTTACCTATGGAATTGATAAGTGAGGATAGGATGACAACTACATGCTTTACACAGTTACCAATATAAAAAAGTGGGACATTATAGTAAACTTACCTATAGAATTAATAAGTGAGGATACGATGGACACCACATGCTTTACACAATTACCAATAGAAAGTGTAACCAGAAGCAGACAACTTAACACTTTGGTGTGTATCAAAAAACAAGATACACTACAAGTTTTACGCAGTTACCATAGCATCCAAGATGCACATCATGTTTTACTATAGCAAGTGCCCAATTCACCTGATTATATCAAAAACAACACAAATCAACACCCAAAATACATTCCATAACATTACATCACAAAATAACTATTCAAAAATGTGTGTTGAAACCTAAGAAACTCTGTATATGATAGAAAGCTATGAGCTTGATATTTTCTTGATGATCATTCTTTTCTTGAGTTTACATCTTTTGTGCTTCTACACACATCATCTGGTTAAATGAAAATCATCCTCTATTGACTGGTCTAAGGATTTCCAAATTCAAAACACATTCCATTTAAATAGGATGACAAAAGTAGTAGTACATGGCTTCCAATTTTTCAGCAACTTTTTATGCCAATAGATGCCTAGCCATTGTTAACTAGGTGTCTGACATGGCCATGGGTAAAAAAGCTAATTGCTCTTAAAATTTCCTTCCGAATATGATCTTGATCCCAGTATATTCTGCATTTACAGCTAGTGATCCAGCATCACACAACATGCAGTCAATGGGCAACCAGCATCAGCATCAACATGGTCATGGGCCTACTGTAGTTGTTGGAACATTCAACATATCCGATCAAGGTGATGATGGAATTCCAGATTTTAGTAGGGTAAGATAACAAAGTATAAATCATTATAATAAACAATGGATTAGGCTCAGCTGCTGAAATAATTCTTTCCTGGTATATTGTTTTTGCTATGCTTGGTTCCTTTGGATTAGCCAATGCTAGGGGTGGTGGTAAAGCGGTAGATTCGCAAGTAACTGGCCACCCACCTTTGTAAATTTTAATAATCTAGTAATTCACCATTAGTAAGTTTATAATGTAATAGTAAAAGTGTTTTTTTTTTGAGATTTTTAACATTAATGAATAATATTATTTTGTGCAACTCCAACATCAACACGACTCAGAGAGGCTTTCACGGATACCTGGTCTTAACGAAATAAGAAGCTCCAACGGATAATAACCACAACCAGCTGAAGATGGTTCCGGAAGGGGTACTGCTACATTCCACTTCCAAGTGATGTTTCCATTGAATCTCTGCAGCTCCCTGTAAATAGAAAGAATACTTTTGAGTGTGTAAGACAAGTTATTCCTGATTCTTTGAGTACACTGTCATAGTATCTCAACAGTTTGAGGCAAGCATTTAGCGACAATGGTGGGTGTGTTTTGTGATGAAGTGAATCTCTAAGAGGAAATTGATCTAATTCTGAATTTGATTATTTGGTGTTGACGGTTAGAATATAGGGGAACAATAATAGAGGAGAGTCGAATGATACAAGGGCACCACCACAATTAAGTGTTGGTCAGGGAGGATTACCAACACCAACAGCCCTGGGAGAAGTGACACAGTCTGCAAGAAAATTGCTCATTGAAGATGCTGGAGAAAAACACATTGTACTTGGTACCTACCTTATCAGTCCTAAGAAAAATGGAAACCACATGGGTGACATATAATTCCCCATCATACACCAAAGGATAGGATGACCCCATCATACACTATATATGTCTCCTAAGCTCCACAGGGAACAAAACGCAATGTATTGTTGTACATGTATTTAAAAATCTTAAAGAACTAAGAACAACCATTTTATAAGATGATGATGATAGAATCATGAGATTAGAATACCTGAGTAAAGTGGCTGAATTCTCCACACATTTTACAAATTATTTCTTCTGCTTTTCGTTTCTTCCAATTCCTTTCAGTAGCTTTAGATGTCGCCTCCAAGACCATAGCTTCCCGACTAGTAAAATCAGTAAGAACAACAGTCGGGTCTCAGGTTCCCACCTCTTTATCAGAGCCAGCACAGGACCTTTTGTAAGGTCCTGAAATGGATCTTACCAGTGATCAAGCAAACAAAACAATCAACAATAATGAGAATGAAGTAG